CAGTGATTGGGTGCGCCTGGAAATAATGTCGCAGTTTCCTTGCAGTGGTGACCAGGGATAGAGCCAGTTTCTCTAGGGGTAGATATCTTGTCTCTGCGTCCAGGAGCGCCTTGCTTATATAATAAATCGGCTTCTGGCGGTGCTCATGTTCACGGATAAGTACCCCGCTTACCGCAAACTCAGATACTGCCAGGTACAAGAACAGCATCTCCCCCTGGATGGGGACGGATAAGGTTGGAAGAGTCCTTAGGTATTCCTTGATTCCAGCCAGGGCGTCCTCGCACCCCCGGCTCCACATGTTCTTCCCAGCACTCTTGATTGCTCCGAAAAAGGGTTTGCATTTGTCCGAGGAGCGTGAGACGAAACGGTTAAGTGCAGCCAGCATCCCTGTGAGTTTCTGGACTTCTCGGACAGTGCGGGGGCTCCGGATGTCCAGGATCGCTTGAATCTGATCTGGGTTGGCTTCGATTCCTCGTTGACTAACCAGGTATCCGAGGAATTTACCTGATTCCACTCCGAAAACGCACTTTGCCGCATTCAGCTTCAGCCCATACTCCCTGAGGGTGGAGAAGGTATCCGCCAAATCTGTCAGATGATCACAACTCCGTTTGCTCTTTACCAGCATATCGTCTATGTAGACCTCCATGGTGTTGCCGATCTGCTTTTTGAACATCCGATTCATCAGTCTTTGGTATGTTGCCCCGGCGTTCTTTAGTCCAAACGGCATCACTTTGTAACAGTAAACTCCCTTCGGAGTGATAAACGCCGTCTTTTCCTGATCCGGGGGATAGAGAGGGATCTGATGATATCCTGCTCGGGCATCCAGGAAGTCCATTCGTTCATATCCGGCAGTGGCATCTACCAGCTGGTCCACCTTTGGCAGGGGGTAGTCGTCCTTGGGACATGCCTTGTTTAGATCTGTAAAGTCTACGCAGACACGCCATTTCCCCCCTTTCTTCTTTGCGCACACCGTATTAGACAGCCATTCTGGGAACTGTATCTCTCGAATGGCGTCGGCCTTCAGGAGTTTGTCGATTTCCTCGTTGACCGCGCTGGTGTGATGCGGGGCCATGCGTCGTGGCCTCTGTTTGACTGGCTTGTGCGACGGGTCAACATGCAGCCTGTGTGTGATTATCTCAGGGTCTACCCCCGTCATTTCCATCTCGTTCACGCAAACACGTCTGTATTTCCCCTTAGGAACTCGATCATCTCCTCCTGTTCGGCTGTGGGCATCGAGGTCCCAACTAAGAAATACCTCTCTTCTTCTCCCTCTACCAAGGGCACCTTCCGGAGGTCTTCTACCGACCGCTCAGTTGGGTCTATCCGGGGGTCATCCATTCCTGGACGCCCGGACTGTAATTGCTATTTTTCCATAATCTCTTCCGGTGCTCGCCCCTTCTCCTGGCTGAACGCCCCGGCTCGAACGGCTGAATAAAAACAGTTTTTCGCGGACGCTTGGTCCCCCCGGATCTCCATGATACCTTCTGGCGTGGTAAATTTTAATTTCTGGTGGAAAGTGGAGTGCACCGCCCCCAACGCATGCAGCCATGTTCGCCCCATAATCACGTTGTAGGGAGAGTCCGTATCGATCACGACAAACTCGGTGTCGATGACAAAGGGACCTGTGACAACTGGCAATGTGATTTTCCCCACGGGCAGGGCGAACGAGCCGTTGAATCCGATGAGGGGTGTCCTGACTTTGGTGAGGTCTTTGGGGCCAAGACCCATCCGTTTTAAAGTTTCGGAGTACATCACCTCCGAGGAACTTCCAGAGTCTATCAAAATCCTTTTGACGTCGAATTTTCCTATCCTCAGGGTCAAGACAAGGGCGTCGTTATGAGGAGTCACTACGCCTGTCAAATCCGCGTCGGAGAATGTAATGCCAAGCTCACCCGTCCTGGCCCTTTTACTTGGTGGCCCTACATCAACCTCGGCTACCTTCCTTGTAAAAGCTACCCTCTTGAGGTCGGACTCGAGTTCCTTGGACGTGGGGCGATCCAGGGGACATATATGGATGACATCTATGATGTTGTCCGGCTCCTCGGTCGGGGCAAGGGCTTGTCTCTCTTCTGGCCTGGGCTCTATGTACTCTTTCAAATATCCGTCTCGGACCAATCTTTCCAAGAACGATTTGAACACCCTGCAGCTTTCGGTGCGATGCCCGAAATCCCGGTGATAGGAACACCTAACCTTTTGATCACGGGTGGAGGGGTCGCTCTGCATCCTGGGCGGCCATTTGAAGAACGGCTCGTGCTTGATTTTATGGAGCAGCTTGAAGATGGGTTCCTTGAACACAGTGTGAATTCCTTTGGACGGACCCCCTGGAGGGGGTAGCAATCCCTTTCGGGGAATATCTTCCCGCTCCTTCTCTTTTCTCTTAGATTGGAGGGCTCGGCCTTTGCTGCTTCCCATCTCGTCCTCAACCCTCGAGTATTTGTTTATCCGGGCCATTAGTTCCCCCATATCCGAGGGAGTCTTCTTGGTCAGGGATCGGTACAGGTTCGTGTCCCTTGCCAAGCCGAGCCGAAAAGATGCTGCTGTCATGACCTCCGAGCAGCCTTCTACCTCATTAACCTCTTCCCAGTATCGGATGGCGTACTGGCGAAAAGTCTCAGATTCCCTCCGTCTGAGGGTCAGCAATGATCCAATGTCTTTGGGGCGCTTACTCCCCGTAATGAATCGAGCCAGGAACTGCTTAGTCAATTCCTTCCAGGACCCAATACTGTTGGGGGGAAGCGCCTCGAACCACTTCATCGCAGAGTCCCCCAAGCTCATAGGAAACACTCGGCAGAGAAACCGTTGGTCCGAATGATAGAGGGACATCATCTGCTTGTATTGCCTGACATGGGCTTCGAGATCGGACCGTCCGTCATAAGTTTTGAACCGCAGCACGACAAACTTTCTTAAAACCTCCATCTCACCGATCTCCCTCGTAAAGGGTGTTTGTATGACTTCGTCCTCGGCCTCATCCTGGACAGCCTTACCCTTTCTCCTGGAGTCTAACCGGGCTCTGAGATCAATTTCTTTCCTGACGGGATGCCTTCTGAAGTCCTTGAGTTCATCGGTAAGCCCCTCATTTCCTGGGCGTCGTGTGGATTGGGTTGAGTCCTCCTCAGATTCATCTCCCTTCCTCCGTCTAGACAAACCTCGCCGGAGGTCGTCCAGGGCCAATGACCTTGCTTTCCTTGAATGGTTGTCATGATGATGCTCGCCAGCTCTGGGTCGTTTTGGGGCCCTAGAGCTTTCTGCTTTGTTGTTTAGGTGATTTCTTAGATCCTTCGTTTCCGCCTCCTGGGCGGGAAGCCCATGAGAAAGGAATGAATCCCTCGATCCTTCGCCAGAGGCAGCAAACTCATTGAGCCGGCTTAGGACGTTTACATTGTCCTTTTCCAGCTGTCGTAATCTATTGCCGGACTTTTCTTCAATCACCTCCGCCAGCTGACGAGCCAAAGGGGTTGATCCCCCTGACCTGATTCCCATACTGGTTTGAGGGGTAACCCCTCTTGACCGAGTAGAGGCACTTTTATTTATATCGGTGTGATCCCTTCCTCCGTGATGACAGGGAGCTTGTAACTCGAGACTCCTTTGGTGGGGTCATTTCCCTTTCTGTCGAGTGTTCACCATGGTCACTGTTCTTTATAGAGAAAAAACTAGGAAAACTAGTCGTTTCCCACAAACGGCGCCAGATTGTGCGTGCAAGATCCTGCACAATATAAAAAACGAGAACAGATCTCTCCCTTGGTGAACTCAAGTGAGCCAGTTGAGTGACCAACCACGCTGCTTGGAACAGCCTGCGAGGTCCGGTGGTGACCTGAAACGGCAACGGGAGACCCTGGGAGAGCGGAAGAACGATCCAGTAAAGCTGAAAGAGGTTCCTGGAACAAAGAAGAACAAGTTAGAAGGGCGCCAGAGTGTTTTCTGGCGTATTCTCTCCGACGATCTAGTCAATCTTTTAGAAAGAGAGAGGAAGGAGAAAACACTGAGTGTGTATTGTAGTAAAGAGTTTTTTGTTGCATACCCGTCTTGCCTTTTGCAAGGAGTATTTATACCTCAAAAGCTCATGATTGCTGTCAGTGTAGTCAGTAGGTGATCATTAGGTACAGACAGTGTGCGCACTGATTCTGATGAGGAATGTCTTATCTTCTTAACTGCTCGAGGTCCCGAGCAATCAATGTTGGGTCATCGGGATGACGACGGTACAATGTACTCTTCTCAGGGAGGATGCAATAAATGCTCTGTATTATGAGCATTTATTGTCTTTCATTTTCGAGCCTTACCGCATTGAATGCGGTCTTATCAAGGGAATGGTGTAATTAATCGTTTGCTTTCCCAAGTCGCGTGTCAGCAACGGCATGCGGTCTGTCTGTCTTCGATGTGATATCATATGACACGCGTCCATCCCCCATTGGCTGTGGACCCTGCATTCCAGTACGTTCTGACATTAATTGTGTAAGACGAGGTCATGATGAATAGCCTAAACTAGCCTAGGCTAATGACCTGTACATCAATAGCTTATCCTAGAGTAGAGGAGGCGTCTAGGACGGGGTACACCTCGGCACCGAGGAAAGGCTCATCTCGGAATCGAGGGGGATACCGACCGAGGTACCATATCAGACCGAGGCTACGTGTTGGTTGTAAAACGTACTGAATGCCTTGATCCTATATGACGAGTACCTCAGGGGCGAAGACTTTTATACGCCGATGGTGCTTGATCTTAGCAACAGTGTTTTAGTAATATCAAAAACACGTGTCTTCATCATGGAACACTTCAGAAAAGTCTCATCAATAAGACTACGTACATTACTATTTTTAGATGACGTAATAGCGCAAACCTTTTGCAGTGCACTGCCTTTTTCGGTTATGAAAATAATACAATTATACTTTATATAAATTTCCCCATGTGAAAACCCCATTGATACCAGTACGCACGCATAAAAGCAAATTAGAAACTTTCCACCTGCTTGGGAATATACAGTTGTCAATAGACAATAACATTAACGCCAAGCAGATATTACAATCAGGAAGCAACTAGAACAGATGGACAACAATTTTCAGATCCACCCTCCCAACTACACAAAACAATTACAAAAATCACCATGAAAAGCGATTGAAAGAAGATGCCAATGTCTAGGCATCAAAAATCTGTTAGCAAGCTCCAATTCTGTCAAGCATTAACAAGCGCCAAACCTCTCCTCTCCAAGCAGGAAAAAGCATCGCCTCGAGAGCTAGAAATATTATGTTAACTATTTTACTTCCCCTTCCTTGCCATACTTTTTACATAATGATAATGCTAAAAGAATAATTTGAAGAACCCTCCTTAAACTTATCTAGTTATCTACCTAAGATCTTTCAGCACGTGTTGCCAAGCATTCTATTGGCGAGGCGTTTCAGAGAAGAAGGCAAGTCTCCGACTGCTGCTTGAGCTGTTGCTTGGCTTGCTGTGGGGACCAGTAAGCATGGGCGGCTAGGACCCTGTCCAGGAGCTCCTGGGGCACAGGCTCACCTCTCCTTTGCTGAGGGGATATTCTTGACGTGTGCACTAGTGTTTTCCACTTATCCTGCAAACCACACCTTCAGTTGAACAAATCAATTGTTATAACAAGAAGATAAGAAAAACTACATGCTGCTTTTTACCTTTCCAACCTGCACAATCAGAACAACAAAAAGATTCATAGGCCAGCTATGATTAGGTCACAGAAGGAAAAGTGAGAGGGCAATCTGATTTGATAGAGGAAATGATAGTGTCACCGGGAAGAGGCTAGACAGACAATAAAGTAGGCAAGTGAAAACATGCAAGACTAAAATTCAAGAGATTCTTTGGGACAGTTGTTTATAGATAAAGCTTTAACGATTCTCTAATCATTTGCCGCAAAGACAAGCAACTATTGCCTTGGATCAACTAAACTAAAGGTGGAGTTATATCTACACTTTCAGATGACATTACAGTTGCCAAACAACCAAGCAACCTCATTCAGATGAAGGCAAAAAAAAAAGGGAACAGAAGTGAAGGAATCGGATTTATCCAACCATATAAGTAAACATTTTGGTCCAGTTAAATCGTATACTCTCTGATATAAATGCAGAACGGCAGCAAATCAGTTTACCTTCAAATCAACATAAGTTCGATGCTTTGCATTATCAAAAGCTCGCAGTTTAACATCACGCCATCTGCAAAAGGGAAAAGACCAAATCATTGATAAAACAAATAAAGTAAAAATCATACCTAATTATGTAATCTTGCATCTTGAGACGTTTTTCAGAGCACACAACTTCACGTGATAAATGGATAAGTAGGTACAGGTTGGTTGGTCTGCAATATCACAAATTAGCTTTCCACGTAGTTCCTGAAATAGGTTAGACCCAACATACCTTCCCGTTCCAAGCTTCTCAACAGCTTGAACCAGTGCTTCCACCTCATAAACAGAGAATGGTCTGCGAATACGACGCTGTGCAGCCTCAGATCGCTTGGATTTCCGCATGGGAACCACAGAAAGGGCCTCCGCATTCACTGTCGGAACCAATGCTCTAGAATCCGCTGTGCCTTTGTCAATCGACATGTCAGGAGGAGAAGGTGCTGAATCATGATCGCTGTCAACTAAGTTGCCGAGATTTGTTACCAGACAATCTGGTGAAGCATCAGAAGTCCCCAGTTGAATTGTGTTATGAGCTACACTGGGAGCAGGATACCTGGTAGAGAAGCATCGCACGTTATTAACTCAGAAACAACTGACTTACGTCATCGGTCCATCGATCTGGAAGCTATTATAAGAACTAGGATTTTACATAAAACATGTAGGGGCAACACCACAAGAAAAGAAATGCATCCCTCTAGAAAAAAGGGGGGATATGATGAGCTTCAGACTAGAGAATTGAACTCAAGATCAAATTGGAGAAAATAAACCAACAAAAGCTAAACAAAAGAAATGAAGGGTCAGGTATCTCAATGTGAACAAATTCTACAGTAAGCAACAAATGGAAATCACGGAACATGTCAATTACCTTGTTATTGGTTGAGGTGTATCACAAGGAAATAGAGATGGATTATCTTCCTGACCAAGTGACTGAGGAGCTTGTGAAGTATTAGGTTCCAGGGTAAAACCCAGAGCATCCGTTTTGTTACCATGAGTTATCCCTGTCTGCAGTAGAGTTTTGTTATCATCCCTAATCTTCTTCCCCTGATGAAGTACACCAACACATAGTTCACCACCCAGTATGGCAGTAACTGCCTCCATAACTGCTCTCTGCAGCACACCCACATCACAACACATCAGCATAATATCTTTAATTCTGCAGCAAACCAGTGAAACTTCAGAATATATCAATTAAAAGAAAGAATGAAAAGGAGGTCTAAAATACCATCAGCACGAAATTTTCCATCCAAAAAGGAAAGAAGTACAATTCTGAAAACCGTGGATACGTGATATTAACCACATAAACTCATAGTTCAACATTCTACCCCAAACACCAATGTGAAATTGTGAATTTATGGAATAAAATTGACCAATGAGCACATGACTCACCTCATAAACATCGAAATGCATGTCTCTGCATTAATGTTGTCCTGTTTACTACCATGTACAGTTTCTAGCTAGCTGCATAATATTTCTATCAAACAATTAAAACTAATGATCACATACCTTCAGAGAACCAACAGTTGCAGTTTCGGGAATGTCTATAAAAAGCTCCGGAACTCTAAAAGACTTGATCTTGAGCTTCACTGAGTAAAAGGAAAATAAGAACCTCGTTTGTCAGGCACTGATCAAACCAAGAGTACATATCAATTATTACTCCGGGAAACACTCTCATACCATGTGAATCCCTGCATTGGAAGGATCTGTGTTGACCAGCTGCATAAGCCAATGTCCCAGTTGCTGTATGAGGGTTAGGATTAGTAAGTGAAACTCTGAAGATACCAACAAATTCTAATAATTGAAAAGAATACAAAATCAAGAGGACACTGATAAGAATAAAACCTTCATGCATTATGGCACCCAAACAAGAAGTATCTCCATTAGAGCCCTTCCCCGGTGAACTAGCGATGCCATCACTGCTGATCTCTCCATCAGAATTTGATACTGAGCTACAGAAGTAAAGTTTCCTCTTTTTGAAAGGATAATCCCTCTGGGACCTTTGTTGTTTGTGACTTTTTTTCCGATGATAAACAGCCTTTGTTTCTGTATCTGGACACATCCATCCATTCCATTGAGTCATGCAAATGGAAAATTAAATCTAGTAAAATGAGGGACACAGCACAGCTGAACAACAAGCAACCACTCACCATTATTAAAATGTTCCCCATTCTTCAATTTAGGAGTTACTTTCCAATATTTGGATGCCAACAGCTTCCTTATTCTTCGGTCTCCAATACGTGGTGATGGCCTGTAAGCCTTATTTGCAGTCCGAGGCTGAGTGCACCCGGAAGAGTTTTCGTCATCATCTCTAACAACTAACTTTACATCATCCCCATAAACGGGGAGAGGACCACAAGGAATGTGGTCCAGACACGACACCTTAACACTATTATGTGAACAGAGAAGTGCAGGAGGTTTCCTGTCACATACCACCTGGTCCTCTGAACTGAACATACCCGTCCTAGTACTAACTGATGCCTTTCCAGTATTTTGCTGGTCAATTTTTATCGGTTCCCTACTTCCATTCTCTAATTTACAAGTAGAAGAGCCTCTGCAGCCAACAATATCCACATCTACTTTGCTAGCAAAGCTTCCATATTCAATCTTGCTTTCACCATTGACCAACTTTTCAGCAGACCCAGCCTTCTCTGAGCAATCAGAAGTTGTTATTACAGATGCAAGTCCTGAACAAGCATCATTCAGTTCATGTGGGAATTCCTTCAAAGTATAATTTACGGGTGCTTGTGACACAAGCTTAGAAACAAAAAGACTCATATCACAGGTTTCTTGTTCACAAAGTTTTACTTCCGAAGATTTATCTACATCCCTTTTTTCTTTCATAACAGAATCCTTCCCAAACGCACATTGATCATTTTCGATCCAAGTATCAGTAGAACTACGTGAACTTTCTGCCGCCAGCAAAAGCTTGCCAGCTACAGTAGCCAGCAAGTCAAATGCACACATTTGATTATCATCAATTTTTTTCCCAAATGAACGCCTCCTCTATACAGAAGACAACAGATCAAAAATATAAATCAGTACCTCAGAAACACAGACTAAATGGGAAAAATCCAAAAGAGATGATGGCATATTCAGGAAAGGAAGATGAAATTTACCCTAACTGATCTGGTAGCTCGAGGTGTGGGTGGAACCTGATAACCATTGAATCCATAGTCTAACCTCCTCTGCAACACCATATCTCATCAATCATACAAAAAAGAATTTGTCAAACGAAAAACATGTGCATTCTTTCATCTGTTGCACAGTGCAACAGAACCTCACTGATCAGCACACAACACCATCCAATCACTTATGCACAAAGACCCAATCGTTAAAAGCCCTGTGACAAACAGAAATTAGTGAATGAGAGTATTGCTAGGCAAATGAACAATCAAAATTAACAGGAGAAAGTAACAAAAAAAAAAAAGGAGACATCTGTGTTGTTTAAATGGCAGTCTCCTACCAGATGATGGAGTTCATGAAGAAAAAAGAAAGACATTGAACAATAATTTCTCTTGTTCCCACAAGCCCCATTCACCAGTATGTAAACAAATTAAACAACAGCACCCCTTATTATGTTCTTATTACTGAAACAAATTGTGCCAAGTAGGTCTTCCATGAAAATATCAGACATGATTAACCAGACATTAAAAATGCCCTAAATGATATGCAAGAAATAGCAGCAAGAGAGAACAATACGGTGGAATTTTACAAGGACCAGTCTAATCGTAAATGGATATATAAATGCAAAAAAATCTATGAATCTTGTAACTGCCACTTGTACCATAACCCATATAAGATTCCAAGAGAAGATAACCTTGAAGCCTTAAAGCAAACTATTATTCCATCAAAAACCTCAATTATTGTGGCACTAAACGAAAAACAAATATATTTGTAAAATTGATCCCACCTTTCATAATTCTATAGAGAGATTCATTTGCATCAGATCATACCAATCTGAATAAAATTGAACAAGAAAGAAGACAGAAATATGACATTCAGGCAGACATATGATTAATTTGCGGGAAGTAATGTATCAAAATTATTATCGGACTGATACGTGAGTTTATTAGGTAAAGGGAACACCATTAACTAAAATAAAGATGACAAATAAAACGACCTTGATTTTGCTCACGAAAGGTAAAAAATTCCAGGCCAACAGAATTCCAAGAATCCCATCACTACAGGTCTAAATCCCATACCCCATTTTTTGATGTTTCTAATAAAATGGGTTATTTTTTAAGAAAAAAAAGGAATAAAACAAATCTTCAGAAAAAAAAAAAAGAAACCCTCACAAAACCCTGAAACAGAGGATCCAAAAATAGCATTTAAAACAAGAATAATAATTGTTTCACTCATCACAGAAAAAGAATAATTATCTACACCTACAGATGATTCAAAATCCAAGCACCAGATCAATCAGATAACATTCAGGCGATCACAAAGTAGAAAGAATCGACGCAAAAGCAATGGATCTCAGCCACTTCTCTGAATGTCAGGGGAAGAAGAAAAGTCATATTTTCGAACACAATTTTTCGGAATTTACGCACCAAACCTCAGATCGAACCCACCAGAAATTAACTTCAAACTGAGAAAGATAACCGAATCGGACCTAAATTACCACCTCCAAATTAAAGAAAGTCGCAAGACATGAAAAACTATCACAGAACAAAAATGCACCTTTTGGTCACAAAGAAACCTGAGGAAGATGAAAGAAAATCTGCAGCGAACACGCAACACAACTCCAACAAACAAACAATTAAAATTTTTCTTGTTCTTTCTAAAGATTTCTTAGCAAAAAACCGAATTTTAGAAGGAAAAAAAACGCGAACTGTGTCTAATCGGACAACGGAAACCAATAAATCCGATTATCTCACCTTTAAATAACCGAACTTCTCGTTAGATAAACCAAAATTCTCGTCCGAACTCCATTTTTCCCCGAGAAAATAAAACTTCGTCAGATTTGAGGAAAATTTACAAGAGCATGTAAGATCGGAGAATTGTCGGGCACTTCAAAGACCAAACAAATCGTAATACGCACCGATCACGTAATATTCTAACAATGCTTCGGACGCTACCCCTCAATTATCTCCCTCGTCTCTCTCTCTCTCTCTCTCTTTCCCTCGCAGATGGCCGAAGGTTCAAAACCCCCTGAAAACCACCCAACCTTACTTAAACCCCCCCAGCTCTTATACCATTGACCCCCTGTTACCGGACCTATCGGTAAAATCCCATTGGGTTACCGGCTATATCCAGTTGCATCCCAAACCACGTAAAGACCGGTTCTTCGACACACTGTGACCCACACTTTTTGCCAGGTTGAATTGGATCATGCCACGTGGTGGGCTACGAGGATCGTAAGGTTTATAGACGCGTTGCACGACCGAGAAGAATGTTGGGTCACAAAGAGGGGGATTTATTTTTTGGGTAAATTTGCTTTGTCATTATTTTTGTAAAGTCATGTATTCAAATTTTGTTTTTAAAATTAATTTCAATTAAGTTTCACATGTAGGGTTAATCTCCTTCATATAGGTTTATAAGATCTTGAAGAAGTTTCTACCCAACTATTTACATTTTTAAGTGACGGGATGAAATTTAATTAATTACAACATTAAAAAATCACTTGGTCTCTCAAATAAAATACAGGTTGATATAGACCCAAGTTTGATGGCCCTACCCTCTAGACATGGGGTCAAATGCGATGAGTGTGTCACATTTTTTTTTTGTTAGGAGAGACTCTCACACCCTATATCAGTCGAGTAGAATATCATTTAAGTTTATAAGATTTTGTACGATTTTTCATCTAATAACTTATATATGTTTTTCAGCTACGTGGTAGTGACATTAAATTAGGATTATCAATATACCAAACGTATTAGAACTTTACTGTATTTAGGATTTGTTAGATCAATTGAGATAAAATTTAATATACAATGCTATAATATATATTATAAAGTATATTAAAATATTAAAAAAATTTAAATTTTCACATAAAATCTTAATACAATTTAAAAAGTTTACTGTAACTAAAAAATCATGTAAAAATATATACATTATTTTTTATCTTAAAAACAAAATAGTTTTGATGAAAAGTAAAATATACATATATAGTCATAATATTATCGTTATAAATGAGATGAATAATATTATATTGATGGAGTTTTTGAAGGTTTTTTTTTTAATATTTTGTTAAAACTTATAATAATGCATATAGTTTTTTAAGAGTAATATAATCAATCAAAAAGTTTCATAAAAATTGACATTTATAAATATAGAATAGATAATTAAAAAATTAATTAATTAAGATTTTCTCTTATAAATCATTGAATAAAATAAAAATAATTATCAATATATCAATCATATTAGAACCTTATTGTATTTAGGATTATTTAGGTCAATTGGGATAAAATTTAATATACAATGATATATATATTATAAAGCATATTAAATTTTTTTTAAAAAATCAAGTTTTCACATAAAATCTTAATATATACTGAAAAGTTTATTGTGACTAAAAATTATATAAAGTTATAATATATTTTTTTTTATCTTAAAAATAAAAGGATTAAACATTTTTGTTGAAAAATAAAATATACATATATAGTCATAATATTATCTTTTATGAATGAGGTGAGTAATATTATATTAATAGAATTTTTGAAGATTTTTTTGAATATTTTGTTAAAACTTATAATTATGAATATATTTTTTAAAAGTAATATAATCATTCAAAAAATTTCATAAAAATTGACATTTATGCATAGGTAATATATAATTAAAAGTGATCTTAAATATAATTTAGAGATTTAAATGCATAAGGATATAATGGTAATTTAGATATTAAGTGTGGAATGATACAGTGACCTTTTTAATTCTTTATGAGGGTAAAATAGTGAATCAAAAAATATTCATGTTAATATACTTTTATTAGTAGTATAGACATAAATATAGAAATAAATATAAATATACAAATTAAATACTATTACTTAAAAATGGGTTTAATTAAATTTTTGCATTTGGTAACATAGTACAATCAGTTCAACCGACATTTTTCAACTAGAACATGTTCATCGCATTTTGAGTAGTCCACATGCAGCTTCTTGTTTGGTTAAGTGAATACATTAATTATAGTTTGATACATTTTACAATACCAAAAATCAAATATTAATCTTGTAATTTAAAAAAAAAAAATCTTTTTTCTTTAATCACACAATTAATAATTAAATGAAAAAATAAAATAATAAAGATATAGAGAAGAGAGAAGAGAGGTATATGCGGTGAATTGGTGTGGTTGTTTGACTTTGAAAATCATACAATAAAAATGATATTTTTAGTAGAAAAAGAAAATTGGTATGAATTTTATACCATTGGATTAAAATAAATAAAAATTAAATCAATCTTGACCGTCGTTATATTTTTATAAATTAATAATTTAACTTCCTAAGAAACCATAATATTATAAAAATAAAACAATTGGAGTTGGATCTGCAGCCACGTGATTACCATTGGCTTTATTCATTTGTTTGTGACGAAGCAAAGATCCTTCAGATCTGAGAGAAATTAACAAATTCGAGAAGGGACATATCTGTCATTATACCAAACTATAATTAAATTGATTCCACGATTGGCATGTTACGGAAATCCTATTTGTTGCGATAAAAATTTGTGGCCTTACTCCTTTTTTTTGCTATCATTTGCCACGTAGGATACAACCAACAATTCCACATGGCGACCATTCAACCCTCTATTGGACCCTTTTTATTCAGCATTATATCACAAAAATTAAAAAAGACTTAAAGGCAATGGGTGTGACGCCGTCTTTATATATTATTATTATTACATGATATTATTGATAAATAATAATTCATAAATAAATAAAATAAATCTTACTTTTTTATATGAATATTATTATTAGAACTTAAAAATTAAATAAATTTATTTATTTAAAGATATGTTAAGTGATAAATTTTAATTAAAAAAATATGAAAGTTATAATCGCAATAATATTATTATTAATTTTTTAAATTTTAATAACATTAAATTTTTGTACATAATACAATTTTTTTTTTTTAAGTAGTTAGTGCAGTTGTAGAGATTTTAATGGTAATATTATGTGACAATAATCTTATTAACTGCGTCGGTTTTGGTGGCCGGAGCAGAGCGAGTTTAGATAACGGCGTCGGAGTTGGAGCGATTAGAGTGTTGGTGGGGCCCACAGGAACATTGAATGTGTCAAAACAAGAGAGAGAAGGGGCCCCACTTTTTATACAAAAAAAAAAAGGGGGGGGCCCTGGTTAGAAGACGACGGCTGCCCACGAACGAAGACAGCTTTGTTGTGACGGTTACAACGTGAAAGGTGGGTGTCGTGTTGTTGACACTGTTGTAATTGTAACTGGTGGAAGAGAGAACAACGGCTGGCCAAGTGAAAAAACAAAAACCACCTCTGCGTCTTTATTACACGAGGGGACCGGCGGCGGGCCCGGGTTGTACCGCCAGACGTGGCGGTGCAGAAATGGGTCTCTGTAACTTGAGTCCGATTTAACCGCCGGTTGATTCGGGTGATGGAGTGGTTCGTTACATGCATTTGACAAATTTCGGGTGCCCATCAATGTGACTTCAATCCACAATATAATTTTGATTTTTCATGTAGAGAAAACAAAATAATTTGAAAACCGAAGATTAAAATAAATGATTAAGACACCAATTTGTACATTCGAATTTGAGTTTTTATTTTATTTTATTTTATTTTTTTTATGATGATCAAAAGAAGAGATGGGGCAAGAAAGAGCGTCCAACAATCACCCCGTCAAGTCCTTACCAATGGGATCATAAGGCTCTTGATCGTGCCTAGAACACTTTTTGAGATCAAACTTAATTAGGCTAGCATAATAGTCAACAACCGAGTCCTACTAAGGATTTCAAGACTCAAACTCCTAATCTCTGAGTGAGGAGTAAGATCGGTACCAGCACTAGACCACCCTACTCGACGATCAATTTGAGTTAATTAACGAGGGTGGGTTGAGACGAGAACAAATAGATAATTATTTTTATTAAGGGACTAGATAGATTGGGAGGTTCACAAATAATACCAATGGACATTTGGTCTAATGGTACTTCTTACCTTGTGAGAAAATTTTGCCTTCTTGAGGTCAAGAATTCAAGCCCCCTTCTCCCCCTCCACCTCCCTTAAAAAAAAAAAAAAAAGTCAACCAATAACATCGATCTTCAAACGTTTGGATCAATCTTAAACACCCTAAAAAATTATAATTTGACCATTCAAAAATTATAACTTTTTTTTATTGTAACTAAACCTTTAAAAATTATAATTTTACCAACAAAAATTATAAATTTTTTATACCGTACCTACTTTGTAATCAAATCTATTATATACTAATAATGATATATACAAATAAAAAATGCTCGTGATTTATTTTGATAATCTTCTAGCCAATGATCAAACAATGATAATTCATTCGGAATTTTTTCTTAGGGATTTATTTTGATATTTACACAGCAAATAGAAAGGTACCAAATTATTTATCAAAAAAAAAAGAAAAAGAAAAAGAAAAAAGAAAGGGACCAAATTTGACCCAACATTGCCATGGAGACAATGTAAATTCTGTAAAACTACTATTCACAATACAAATCAAAAAAAGTCAAACAACACATGAGTTTCCTTGTATATAGTTCCTAAACTTTGATATGTATACTTGTTGCTTTAATGGAGTATAAAAGGCGATGACGACGGTACACAAATTTTGGACATTGTCTAAATGCCCAAATTTATTAGTCAGCCATATTATTTCCCAACTCTTTTTTGAGGCAATAAAAAGACAACAATAGAAGGTAGAGTTCAACAATGCTCTTATGCTTCGTTTGGAAAGTTAAAAAGATAAATAAAACATCATGTTTGGTAAAAAAGAAAAACAAAAAAAATAAAAAAGTAGATGAATGAGTTTTCCTTCCAACTCACCAAAATTAATCTCTCCAAAATTGAAAAGAAAGTGGATGAAAAGTTAATTATTTGTGTTGAAATATATTTTATATGATATATACATATATTATGTATACATTAATTTCATATATAAATACAATAATAAAATATGTATTTATATTTCCAATTCTCCATAACCTTATACTG